CTAAACCCTAAACCCTAAACTCCCGCGCTGTGGGCCCCCGTGCGTCTCGTTTCTGAGCAGCGCAGACAAGCCGAAAACCGCCGGAGCCGGTAGGAGGGATGTAGCCACGGCCTCTCCACGGGGAGGTTTTAGGGTTTACGGTTTAGAGTTTAGGGTTTACGGTTTAGAGTTTAGGGTTTACGGTTTAGAGTTTCGGGTTGTTTAGAGTTTAGGACCGATACTAATACATGTTCAGCCCTGTCAGAGGCTCCTATATGCGCACTTTAAGGACGAACAAAAGATAATTGCACCTACGGGCTTCGCGCTTAAGGACTTTCACGGGTTTCGAACTTCTGGGTGGGTTCGAAGCATTCGGGATTTAGAAGAGCGCTGAAGGCTTTGGAGTTTCGAGCATGTGGGGCTTAAGGGCTTGAAGGGTTTGGGAACTTGGAGTTTAGGGTTTTGCCTTGAGGGTGTAGGGCTGGAGATTTAAATGGTAACCCGAAAACCTAAACCCCATAAACCCTACCTGTAGCCTCCACTGTCGTCCCTGTTTTGGGTTACCTTCTAGGAGCCTAATCATAAAAGTTGCTAAATCCACATAAAGGGAATTAGAATGGAGACTCTAGGTAAACCCTACCAACACCCCCCAACTACCCTCTATTATACTCTATATACTTACTCTTAAGGACCATAAGGGCTCTATTAACGGGTGCTTGGGGGGGTGCTGGTAAGGCTCGTTGGCTTGCCAGGAATGCCCGCGAGGTGGCTTCTGAAGGTTCGACTCTTTAACTTCCCTGGTTCGGCTAACAGGGTTTAGGGTTTAGGGTGCCCGGTTTAGGGTTTAGGGTTCAGGGTTTAGGGTTTAGGGTTCAGGGTCCGGGATATAAGTTACAGGGTCTACCGACACACACCCTCAGGAGTTTAGGTGACATTCACCATAGAACCTATATTACTGAAGACCGACTCAATTACGGACCGTCCCGGTAGATGCGCCATGTTCAATCGAAGTGCGTGTAGGGTTTGCAAAGCACGCGTCCAAATCCGGAACCTTAGACCTTAAGATGGGACGGCTGTGAGCTAAACCCTAAACCCTAAACCCCTGTAGGGGGGGGGGGGTGTAAGGAATTAGCAGTTTGCGCCCTACGGGCTTTCTGTCGGGTAAGGATCTCGGGGTTTTGTTGTCAAAGCTAAATTTACCTTCATTGAACCCTCTACCGTGTCGACAGCTGAATTTAAACCCTAAACCCCAAACCCTAAACCTAAACCCTGAACTCTAAACCCCAACCCGCAAACCCTAAACCCTAAACCCTAAACCCCAAACCGCAAACCCTAAACCCTAAACCCTAAACCCTAAACCCTAAACCCTAAACCCTAAACCCTAAACCCCAAACCCCTAATTCTACGAGATCGTAGACTCCAGAAGGGCCGGGGTTGCTCCGCCATCGGAATTCGCTTTTTCCCGCTGTACAGAAGTCGGTGGAAATCGATCGGTTTCGAAGCATGTTCAGGCTCCCCGACAACCTTTAAGCCCAGTACCCTGGCCCAAAAAAGTTTAAACTTTTCCTTTAGTAGGGGGTTTAATACACCAAAAAGTTTAAAGTTTACCTACTGGGCTCCTAAGACAAGCCCGTACCAAACAGGTTGAATCAACTCTTACCAGGTTTCTAACTATGAGGGCGCTGTCTTAGCTGGCTTGTCAGATCCATTCCGATTACCGGAGCACTCAGGTCTGCGACACTTCCCGCGGCAGGTGCTTGCACAGGAAGCCTTTGATATACCTCAGCATCCAGGTTCAGCGCTTCCGGTTTCGGGTCTTGGATTTGCGTTTGGGGTTTAGGGTTGAAGGCTAGGGTTTAGGGTTTAGGGTTTCTGTTTAAGGAATGGGGTTTTGGAGAAACTTCATGTAACTGCACTCCATAGAAGTCGAGAAAGCCGAGCATCAAGAACAACCCCCAAATCACACCATGAGATCGGGGCCTTAATAATTGGAACAAGAGTTCTCGAATAAAAAAAGCCCATGGAATAATAAGGAATATGGCTCGTTATTAGTCAGGCTATATAATCCCTAAACCCTAAACCCTAAACCCTAAACCTAAACCCTAAACTCTAAACCGTAAACCCTAAACCCTAAACCCTAAACCCTAAACCCTAAACCCCTAAACCCTAAACAGGCTATATATTACAACCTAGCTCAACCGCGGCCTTTCATTGAAGTTCAGAAAACTAATCTCGCGGTGACGGCCCCTTTGATAAGGTCTCAAGACATGGGCTTACAGGATTTAGGAATGTTTGGGATTCACTGCTAGAACTATCCAAGCTGTATTACACTTGGACGGCTAGGCTTTCTCATTCCTTGTTCTGGGTTTAGGGTTTAGGGTTTAGGGTTGTGGGTTGCCGGATTCTTTCGGAAGCTCGAAGTCATGGAAGCATCAGCGTACCCTCAACCCGAAGCACCCTAAAGTAAACCCCTGAAGAACTCGGTCTCAACCCTAGACGCCCGGAAAGATTCCTAAAGCCTCAAAGGCCGACAGCGGCAAAAAGGAATGAGCCGCACACCCTTCGCAAAAGGGGTTGTGGCTGGAACAATGACCAGGATACGTAGTTACTTATGCCATTATCGACCTGTTTACTAAGGCGTCATATGCCTACTTATGCTATAGCTGGTATCATTGTATGCTGAAGGTATTTACAACTGACATTTTGAATACATGCAACAGAAAAAAGGCTACAAAAGGAGGGCCCCTAAACCCTAAACCCTAAACCCCTAAACCCTAAACCCTAAACCCTAAACCTCAAGAACCAAAGTAGATACCACGTGACGACTTGGACCTCTGCGGGCCGACGGCCCTACGAAGTCTGCACCCTGAAAACAAACTCTCAAGGGCTTTTAGGGTTTAGGGTTTAGGGTTTAGGGTTTAGGGTTTAGGGTCCTTGTCTTTGTTACATTTTGTTACCATGTCTTTTTGGCATTTTGGGGGCACGTGCTATCCGACCCCAAACCAAACCCTTCAACCCCTAATAAGCCATAAACCGACACACCATCAACCCTCAACCCCAAACACCTGTATTACGACCCGGATATAAAAAGGAGGCAGCCTTAAGTACGCGACCCCGCCGAACTCACTTTATCCAAGTTGCTCCATCGCCCTTGCTACGTCGGAAGCCACCTCGCCAGCTTCCGGGTTTCCCCTCAAAAAATGACGGCAAGAGCCGGTAATGTAGCGGCCTTGATCATTAGAGTAGGGTTTTGGGGTAGATTATGCTACGTAATTACAGTTCTTCTACTAGGCAACCTTGAGAATAGAATGGGTGACTATTTGGGGCCCCTATAACACTAAACCCTAAACCCTAAACCCTAAACCCTAAACCCTAAACGCTAAACCCTAAACCCTAAACCGTTACAGGGTACAAGGTTTAAGAACGGGTTTCGCGATTGTCGAGGTGAGGGGATTCAGGGTTGGGAGGCCAGGGTTTAGCCTTCTTTGTTAGAAGAGGGGCCCGCTTCGGGCTTTCGGGTGTAGGGGTTTAGGGTCCAGGGGTTTAGGGTTTGGGTTTAGGGTCTAGGGGTTTAGGGTCCAGGGGTTCAGGGTTTAGGGTCCAGGGGTTTAGGGTTTAGGGTTTGGGGTTCGGGTTTAGGGTTTGGGGGCTCCAAACATGGGATGATCCTCATCAATCAAGAGCCCTTTCCAAGCAGGTAACCCTAAACCCTGAACCCTAAACCCTAAACCCTAAACCCTAAACCCTAAACCCTAAACCCTAAAGCCCAATCCCTAAACCCTAAACCCCAAACCCCTCAACCCTAATCCCCTCAACATCCCTGAACCCTAATCCCTAAACCCAAAACCCCTCAGCATCCCTAAACCCTAATCCCTATAAACCTATAAGCACTAAATCTGAAGTCATCCTCGTGAGTTTCGTGCAGGGTTCAGTTTAGGCCTCTTAGCACTGGCCACAAGCTGCCACGCACTTTGAACTTTGCACCCGCCCATGGGCAAGGAGTGTTGGAAATATCGCTCCTGCGTGTGTGTGTGTGTGTGTGTGGGGAGAATCTTCATTGGTGGGTTCCACACCGAGTAATCTCCTAAAGACTATATATCCCTACAGCCACCAAAAAGAATCCCCAAACCCTAAACCCTAAACCCTAAACCCCAAAACCCCAAAACAATCCTCAAAATCGGTGGAAGATAGAAGCCGAAATCCTAAAAAGGGTAGAAGATAGAGGCCGAAAGCCTAAAAAAACGTAGAAGGTAGGGTTTAGGGTTTAGGGTTTAGGGTTTAGGGTTTAGGGTTTAGGGTTTAGGGTTTAGGGTTTAGGGTTTAGGGAGGCCGCCGCCTGGCTGTCCTTCAAGTCGCCGCGAGGCACGAAGCCGTGGCTCATGGAAGGGAACTCCTGACATGGCTTCTGTCTTGCTGAAAGGATTTAGGGTTTAGGGTTCAGGGTTTTGGATTTAAGGTTCAAGG